TCATGCTTAGAGAAATGCAGGACTAGCTATATCACATTACAGGGATATTTCAAATTCTGGAAAGTTGAGAATAAACTATAATTTCCAAGCCTTCTTGGTCCTAAAATTATACTCATAGTCCTATGTCATCTGTAGGCTCAAGTTGGCTTCTTGCCTCTCCTGTGGCGTATTCCCTGCTAACTCCAAATTCTGCTGCTACTTTTACTTATTTCCAGGTTGGTCAACACATTCCACTGGTGTTACTCATTTACACTGGGTGAAAAGCCAATATCCCGTGTTGCAGCTGCTACAACTCAAAACCCAAACAATTTTGGATAAACTAAGCTTAGAACCTAAAACTAAAATTGCCAGGGTCTTGACCTAACTCCATCACAAGCTATTCCAGGATCAATGCTAACAGCCCTGAGACATTAGCCCCAGAAGAGATCTTAGAGATTATTTATTACATGCTTCTCATTTTACACATTTAATGGCTTAAAACAGTGTCTGGCACAGAGCAAGGCACTATGTATTTTTTCCTATTGTATTATTACACACACAAAAAAGAAAACAATTGGCATTACTGTAACTTCCACGTCAGTGACAGATATGAGCAGAGAAACATGCCAGAGCTCCATGGATTTTCATGTTCTCCACAAGCAAGAAGCCCAGAATGTAAGAGTGGCTCAGCACGGCCTTGGGATAGTGACCCGAGCTATGGAATCCCCTTCTGTGAGGCAGTTTTCCATCCTGGCAAAGTTATTGAATTCACACCAACACTACCTCCAAAGAGTCCTTCCACTGACCACTGCACAAAGTCTATGTGCAACTCTGGGGGCCCCATTCACACAAACTGTTCACATGAACAGCCAGGGGGCCCTGTACCTCGGGAAAAGCTGGGCTAGGCCTGCTTTCGGTGCTCAAAAATCGAGAACGCGTCCTTGCTGGGGCCAAAGATGATTTAAATGTTGTCTGTCTTACCGGGAGGGGATGGGTGAGAGTAACACTCACTTGTGCCTAATGAGCACCCTGTGAAAAGCAGGAGGAACAAAGCTCCTCCTTACCCAGACCTTGCTGCTTCGGGAGATGAGGGTGGTTGGTCTCACTGACCTGCCTCCCCAATGCACTATAGAATAAGTCTGGCAATTCTCAGTGCTTAGAAAGATGGGTCTAATGAACAAAAGAATGAACAAATGAAGAAGAAAACCAAAAAGCACGGTGAAGGCTTACAACTCTAAATAGGCAAAATGTCCCGTGTCCCCTGGGACTATGTCACTACATAAACCTTGCAGGAACTTCCTTCCTCCACCACTCACTATTTTAAAAACAACAAAACTATTTGTTAAGTATCACCAAGGTAGTTAATATTCTTAATTATTTCTAAAGACATCAATAGGGATGCAGGAAAACCTGTGGGCAGAGGGAGTTAGAAGTATAACGTAATTAACGCAACCACAGACATCTGAAGTCTTACAGGATATCATGATCATGGCCCATGAGCTTATACTTCAGGGCTTTTGCCTCCATTCACTTCTTCTGCTATTTCTAAAGTAAAGAGAACTTGGGGAGAGAAAACGTTTTCCCAGGCAATGCACTGACTTGACTCTCCTGGGAAGAGTGGCTTGGCACTGCCACGGGGTAGTGACCCGAGCTGTGGAAGCTCCTCTGAGACAGCGCTCCAGGCGGGTGAAGTTATTACATTCACCCAGAAGCCAGGCTCCTCCTCCTTTCTGCATTGGCTCACATGCTGCCTTCTCACCCAGTGGGTTAGCTAATCAGCTGCTCATTCAGACATCAAAGGAGGCAAGAACTCTGGTTCCGTTTTTAACACTTGAAGATCCCAGAAGAATAACAGAAATAGAAAAGGTGTCTCTGAAAAGAAACTTGCCAAAAACTACCGAATGAGTGTTTCCAACAGGAAAATTCAGCTATTTTCTATCTTCACACCTTTCCACCTTCAAAATCCCCCACCTAAGACCTGTGCTGCAGTCCTGACCTGGTCGTGAGAGTAACCCAATGAAAGGACAACACAAAGGACACATCCCCAGCCACTTCTGACTCTTTGAGGCCGCACCCTTTTCCTCTCAATTGTTGGGCAGTGACGATTAGAATAAATTTTTCCAGGAATTACTTTAAACTTTGGGGGGCAAAAAAATAGGTATTCAAACGTAAGCAGGATAGCTAACTGGGAGACATCGAGAATACCCAGATTGTTCCCCTGTTAGTCATTCACAGTCCACAAAGGCATTTTTCAATGGGGCTGGCAGGGAGCCTGGTGGATAGGAACAGGGGAGTTTCACCATGCACTTCCTCCCCCGCTTACCATCACAATGAGAGGACAAGACCTACGTAGGTGCCCGTAAGTTGAACACTGCAGCCTCTGAAACTTTATAATGTCCAAACACATACTTCTCTTATAAACACTGAGTTTACTTTGCACAGACCAAGCAGCCACTGCTAAGGGCAACCTTAACCTTGACCAAGGGGAAAGAAACATCATTGCCAATGAATGCCCAGAGGAGACTTCCGATAGAAGTTTTATAGAATTAGTACTTCTGACTTGATAAGTGCTTTACTAGTACTAGTACATTCACTGTTAGTCACTCACAGTCCACAAGGTCATTTTTCAATGACTGTATCTTTCAATAATTGTAAAGAATTGGAAGCAAGTTGAATAACCATTGACTTATGGTACAGCTATAAACTGGAATAATATACAGCCATTAAAAAGAATGGCATAAATCTACATAGAGTGACAAAGATAGATGTTCTTGATATGTTCTAGGAGAAAATTAATGCAGAAATCTATAGCCCTAGTACATTTTTACACACACACACACACACACACAGCTATACTTTTATATGCACAGGAGAAAGTCTGGAAGTATACACACTAAATAATAATGGGCACTCTATTTTTCCATCTTTCTACACTATTTATATTTCTTATTATGTGCATTAATTACTTTTATGCTTTCTAAACTATGCAATATTTCCCCGCAAGGACTGATTGTGTATATAACTAAAACCAGCAGAACTTGATTTCAGATGTTATCTCTGGAATAAAGTAAGGTATTTACATTTAAACGTAATAGACCTGGGATTTTCACTGAACATGTGGGCTACTGACATAATAACGAATAGCACTACAAGAAATAGACCTCATGGCTGTGTGGGCATACTTTTTCAAAACCATCTTGGAAAAAAGTTGTACTCCAAGCAGTTTGTTGAATTCTCATTTGCTGTGAGCAGCGATGATCACAGGTAGGATCCGCCCTGGGCAGAGGCCCTACTTAAATATCGTTGCTTCTCTTATCTGATACTAGTTAGCTCTTTTTATCTTGCTCACCCCATGGAAGAAGAGAAACACTATCAGATAAGGAAAAGTGTCTTGTTGTATCGCTGTTGCCTTCACCTCTCCCTCGCACCTCCCTCTGCAGGTGCACAGAGCCAGAGCTCTCCATGCTGCCAGAAGCTTCCGAGCCCTGGTGAGCATTCCCCCCAGGTGCAGCTGCAGCCAGCACAGCCTTATCCATTGCAGTGGGAGAAAAAACTTCCCGTGGAAATGCCTGGAGTGAGATCTGACCTAAACAATAACTGAGATATGAGCGGCTGATTTTTTTAATTTTTATTTTTTAGCACTAGAAAGAGAAATAATTTTAATAGTCACTTGTGGAATTAAAAATAAACCACAAAGCATCTTTCTATAGTGTATAGACACTATATAATCATCTGGACACATATTTCTACACTTCTGAAGAATCACTGACAAAAGATTTTTAAGAAGATTCACAAGGGAACCCAAACCACACAGCTTCCTCCATGAAATCGTAAGCTACACCAGCGGGGAGCTGATTCAATCTATATAACAAGTAAGCAGGTCAAACGACTCCATAAATAAATGAACTATTATGCTAGCAGGAAGGATTCCAAGATAATGAATAACATCTCTAGACAATGTACCAGGGTGGGAGCCGAAGTCTCTCAGACGAAAACCTGCAGTGAAAAGGCCCATCATCCTTGATGGACTTTCTCAGTTCAGTTAGCAATACAATTTAGAAGGCAAAACAATATAAGGTAGTCTCATACATCAGAGGGAAGCAGTTTAATTCAAATCAAATCCACCATAGGAAAGTTTAAGTTCAGATTCTTAAGGGCATTAGAATGTTGAAAATTAAGTTAATTAACCAAACACTTTAGGATAATGGCAATTGGGCCTCTGTTTTTTTAAAAAAATCACTCTATAATATCACTAAGTATAGTTTAATAATCCCTTTAGCAGCTCATTTGAAAGGCTCAATTGTCCTCTTTTGCAGTGCGTGTTGGTGGTTTTTTTACAGTTTGCTTAAAAAAATTATGTGCTTTTATTGTACTAAAGAAATTCCGAGAGAGAAGCACAACCTACTCACTGATGCTAACAACACAACCATTTTTCACATTCCTCCCTTATAAAGTCTACCGAAGCACTTGAATTTATCAAACTGCTATGAGTTACGCTAATGCTAAGAACAGAAACTTCTCTACCAATTGGTTCAAAATATAAGTTATTTCTAACTTTGTTCAAGGCAAACCTGTTAAAATGAGTGAGTGAGACCACATGTAACTTCAACAGTTATGTCCCTTAAAACTGCCTAGTGTCATCTTCATCATTTTCGCAATAACGTACGTATATTATGTAAAGATGTTTTAATTTTACAAAGGACATCTTTTTCAGCCCTACAGAAGGAATTAAAAAGTGCCTCCCTGGGTGTACCTTTGGCAGCCCTGCAGCTAAGTGGGACATAATTTTGAACAATGCATGGTTGTTCTATACAAAGAAGCCTCCTGGAAGCCACGATCGCCCACAAAATGTCAACACATCTTTCCTCACAAAGAAAATCAAAGTGGAGCCGAAAACAATCGACAGGAAGAGAGGGAGAGGAGAGTTCACAGGAGACAGGCAGAGCAAGTTTTACAATCCCACAGAGGGCCAGAGGCACAGAGCATGCACACACCACAAGCGCTGAGGATGAGCCCCTTACCAGCACTGGCCCCGGGCTCTCTGCTTCCACTTCTCCCTGAGGGGCATCCTTGTGTTGCAGGGGGGACTCGATCACCATCTCCTTTTTGGCACTTCTACTACTTGTCCTGTATTTATCAGCCTGCATTCTCGGCTGAAAATGCAAGTCAGAACGTCTGCAACTTGGACAGCTGTGAGTCCCCAGCTGGGCAAGGCACAAGCATGCCAGTGGCCCAAGGCAGGAGAGGCAGCTAGCTGGCTTCCCAGGCACCAGTGGTCAGCTCCGCGGGCTGGGTCTGTAGAGCCTGCTGGGGTGGGAGGGCATGCCTGCGAGGGCCAGCCTCCAGGGGTGTTACTACTGCTGGAAAAATGGGAGGTTCCTGCTCGCAGGCCAAAGGAAAACAAACCCTGAACTGTACAATACACAGTGTACTGCCTCTCTGATAAAGACCGGCCCCATTGTGTCTGCTCCACACGGGGTGGGCCAAAAGGACACGAATCAATATAGTGCAGTGTTTAAAAGAAACCAGTCACAGTTAGCTCCTTCTAATTCCTTCAAATCTAAAGCTCCTGGAGCTGAAGGGACAGACAGCTAGGTTGTCTGGATGTTCCAAAATTCTTAGGTTTTGGATGCTTTCCTTTATGTTACGGCTAAACACCAAATGCTTGGCTGATGATCAATGCTGGTAAGAGCTACCAGCAGGAGATTCTGTAGCCTGCACCTCAAGGCTGCAGGTGTAAAGAAAGAGTTTATCCCTGCACGTTAAACTGAATTTATGGGTTATTTTGTGCAAGAAAAACAAGGTCATCAAACAGTTTCATGGGCAACCATGTATTGTGGTAAATGTTCTTATTAATCAGAATGTAATTTTAAGTCCATCAACAGGCAGGGGTCTCTCCCTGCAAGCAGTGTCAGGGCTCCTTGAGAAGGCGAGATGAATGGACAGCGTAAGTGACAGATTAGCATAATTAACAGAGATTTACACAAAGCACAAGAAAGGAGCTGAGTCACCATCCCATGGTTCAATGGGGATCGTACCCAAAATGTGTTTTTCCAAAAAGGCTGCTATTTTTAGTATTTCCTAACAATAACAGTGGAGTAAATTTTAAATCATTTTAAAATCGTCTCTTGGGGAAAGCTAAAACAGAAGTGTTAGGGGATTTGTTTAAAAATTCATGGGAAATGGGCAGTAAGATGGAATTAAATATTAATCTGCACTTCCTGGGCTGCTGCAATGCTTCTCCCAGTTAGTTATTATTCAGCTTATTTTCTTGAAATCGGAGATGATCTGGTTACAGAAGGTAACAAGCAGTAGTAGTAAAGAAACAATGGAAATGGGTGTCATTTAGCAGCAACAGGTGCCATAGAAACTACTATATAAAATATAGGTACAAATCTCCCACTTTCCAGGCCAAGTAACTGGCTGGGAGGGCTTGTGGCGGGAGGGCGGGGGGGACACTGGGGGAGCAAAGATGTCACCCTATGCCTGCCTGTTCTTCCTCCCACCAGGATCTCTGTCACTCAAACATCAGCAATAATAATTTATATAATAACTTATTTAATCTTCATAACAACCCTATGATGTAAGTAGTGTGGTTATTGCCATTTTATAGATGAGAAGACAGATGCACAGAGATGTTATATATGTGCAGAAGGTCACACAGCAAGCAGTAGCCATATGGACTCAGTGTACATACACTTAACCCATGATACCATGCTGAACCAGCTGTCTATTCCAACTGCTAAGAAGTATAAATATGTAAAAGCTACTGATCATCAATTAAAGATAAAGGCAGCATCTGGGTTTAATTCCACAGAGATAATTTAGTGAAGAGGTAAAAAGGTGAAAATGGCATAGCATGGTGTCTGGTATATAGTAAGTGTTCATTTAACAGCTACTATTATTGTTGCTGTTGTTATTGCAATCTGAAGAAATTTACCTTAGTCCTGAATTCAGGACTGTAGCTGTGTGATCTAAAATAACAGCTCCACCAAAGTGTTGCTATAACACTTTACACAAAGTGCTTCAGCAATTTAAAATCAACTGTTCTTCCCTCTTTGCTGCTCCTCTATGACAACTGCCTTCAAACAGTTTACCTGACATCCCTTGCTCATGCCATGAGCCAGGCCTCTTCTTGAAATTGTTCTATTATTTTTTTTCAAAATTTCAGCAGTGAATTTTTATATATCTTTTGTAACCAAGGGGAAAAAATTGAATTTCCTCTGAGCTTCCAGGTAGCCAGGATAGAAAGGCAAACATAATTCATATCATCAAAAAAAGAAAACAGACAAGGCTGTCAGGCAAGTGAATTTTTAAAAAAGTTTCTCACACAGAGATTTACGTAAAAAGGGACTGATCAATGTACGAGACAAGGTTCTCAACATATTTATTGGAAATGCAGCAGCGAAATTCACACAGCTTTCTCACCACCATCTCAGAGCATTATACTTAAATCCCAGATAAAATAAAGCAATTCTGAGAGCAAGACAGGCATTTAGTCTATCACCTTCAAATGGGTCCACCTTATGGAAGAAGAAAATTCTCACAACCTAGAGCAAGGGAGACGCTATTGTGAGCCTTCCTGCTACTTAACTTCTCAGGCCACGCAAGGTCTTTGTTCTATTTTGCTCGTTTAGGACCGGCCAGCGCTTTAGAAATCTGACGGGCAAGGAGAGTTACATGGTACAGCAGTTAATTCTAGGACCTAAACCTCAGAGTAGGATGTGGTTTCTCTAGGGGGTTTATGAGATTGGTGTCTGAGGACAAAAGAATGACATCTGGTCAGAGCAGCCACAAGAGGAAATGCCGTCTGAGAAGGGCAGGAAATAGGTGGCCAAGGTTCCCTTTACACCATTTCAAAAAACAAGGTGTATGCTAGACCTCTGCATTCAAACCCACAAACGTCGACTGAGCTCCTACTACCTAGCAACCTCAAGCTCTTTCACACCTTAACTTGTCTAACTCTTACAATAACAAACACATCTGTGAACATGTATTAAGGGTATAGAGTTTTACTGTTAAAACAGAATGGAGTAAACCCCATGAGGAAGTGGGAACACTTCAGAGGTAGGATGGAATGCTTCTGTACATGGGTTTCAGTTCTCAGATTTTAATACGCATACAAATTATTATACAGGTTAGGTACACAAAACCACAAAAATATTATGGGAAATTTAGAGGATTTTCTAAGGGTAATTTCTTTTATTTTTTTATTAACCCCCATCCTCCCCCCCCGCCACTCATCCTCCTGTTCTAAGGGTAATTTCTTACTATAAGGAAGGCAAACTTTAGATTCTAAAAGTCCCCATCTTCCCCTTCCCACTGTACAATGAAGTTCTATCACATTCTGAAAAGCAAAAAGTAGAAGGACCTCTCACCCAGAGGACTCCTATGCATGCCTGAAGAACCAGTTTAGATAGCACCTTCTCTATGCAACTCCCTTGATCCTCCTAGCCAGAATTAATGAGCTCTTCTGTTAAACTTTTATTTACCTCTGCTTTGGAGCTTTTCACAATCTACCTTTTATTAAGTTTGTACATGTCACACTCTTTGGTGAGACTGTAAATTCATAAGGGCAGGGACTATATTTTCACCACCTTTGAGTCTCCAGTGTCTTGGGTACTGCAAGCACTCAAAACATATTTGCTCAACTTAATGCTTATGTCACGAGTTATCTTTAACCCTGAAATGAAATTTAGTAGTTGTAAAAATATGCAAACATTTTTATTTGTTAATAGCCCAAAGCATTCAACTGTTCATAAACTGAAACCCAACAGAGCATTTACTAATAATTAAAATGTTCCAGCCCTGACCGATTTGGCTCAGTGGATAGAGCGTCGGCCTACGGACTCAAGGGTCCCAGGTTCGATTCCGGTCAAGGGCATGTACCTTGGTTGCAGGCACATCCCCAGTAGGGGGTGTGCAGGAGGCAGCTGATGGAAGTTTCTCTCTCATCAATGTTTCTAACGTTCTATCCCTTTCCCTCCCTCTCTGTAAAAAAAATCAATAAAATATATTTTAAAATGTTCCTGCCCTAGCTGGTTTGGCTCAGCCAATGGAGTGTTGGCCTGCAGACTGGAGGGTCCCGGTTTCAGTTCTGGTCAGGGGCATGTATCTTGGTTGCGGGCACATCCCCCAGTTGGGGGTGTGCAGGAGGCAGCTGATCGATGTTTCTCTCTCATCGATGTTTCTAACTCTCTGTCCCTCTCCCTTCCTCTCTGTAAAAAATCAATAAAAAAATAAAAATAAATAATAAAATGTTTCTTTTTCCCACCTAAAAAATATTATACTGAATAACTTGCTCTAAGATACAAATATAAGCCTTTAGAGTGCATACAAAGTGTATTTAAATACATAAAGTATATAGCTATACAGCACACATATACATATTTTGGAATAGAGCTTTAAATATATACATATAAATATTAAATATATGTACATATATGCCGCTATTCCAAAATAATCATTCCTTTTCTCTTATTCTGGAAAATTTTGAAACAATAAGTAAAAATTATTAAGAAAAACTGCAAAAAGGAGCAAATGACTAAATATTTTCCACAGTGTATTATTATTGGTCAGCCTGCCGGCCAAAGAAAAGAAAAGGTGTCAGAAAATGACCTGCCCTTCTAAGAAAAACAGAAGTATGGAACATAGGAGGCACAATAAGCAGCAAAACAGAGCAGAACAGGATTAGAGGCAATGAGTGATGAACGGAGAAGAGATGTGGGGGCAGGTGGAGGTGAGAGAGGAGAGAGGGTCTCTACATCAGACCCTGAGGGCCTCTTAGAAGAATTAATATAAAAATACATTCTGAGATAAAGTCTGATGCTCAATTCAATTATGTCATTAGAGATTTAATCCAATAATCACAAGAAACAGAATACGCATTATTGTCTAGTCTAGCGTTTCTTAGCCTGGAATCCAAGGCTGAACTTGTGGGGAAAGTGGCCCATGAATCCTTTCACATTACATTCAAAATTCTGTGTGCCTGTGCTTTTTCTGAGGGGAGGCCTCTGGAATTCATTTAGTTCTTAGAGAAGGGACCAAAGGAAAACCTGCTACTCACAGAATAAGGGAACTGAGGTCCAGAGAGATAAGCTGGAGAACCATCCAAAGGTTGAGGATACAAAGCTCTTCACTTTAGCAGGTTTAAGTCTACTCAAGTAGAGATAACAGTAATTTAAACACCAAGCCCCTGTTAAATAAATAAGCATCAGACGGCTATCAGCAGTGTCAACACCCGCAGTCTCCTCGCTGGTTGATGGATGGCCAGGTCAGCAAATGGATCATTACATGAAG